GGTATGAATGACAGTGTAAGGATATGGGTGTAATATGTACATATCAACATGGATATGAATGATAGTGTAAGGATATGGGTGTACTGTGTAAATATCAACATGGATATGAATGATAGTGTAAGGATGTGGGTGTACTGTGTAAATATCAACATGGATATGAATGACAGTGTAAGGATATGGGTGTAATATGTAAATATCAACATGGATATGAATGATAGTGTAAGGAGATGGGTGTGTTGTGTAAATATCAACATGGATATGAATGATAATGTAAGGAGATGGGTGTACTGTGTAAATATCAACATGGGTATCAATGATAATGTAAGGAGATGGGTGTGCTGTGTAAATATCAACATGGATATGAAGGATAGTGTAAGGAGATGGGTGTGTTGTGTAAACATCAACAAGGATATGAATGACAGTGTAATATTTGTATATCCTGTCTTTAAATTGGAAAAATTATGAATCAATGTTTAAGTGTAAAAATACATTTCAATTCTGTAATAAAAAGTATGCTTATCAACATGCAGATGTCATGACTCAAACAAGCTATTTGGCTGTAAGTTTATTCTATAAATTATAAAATAATGTCACTGGTTATATGGAATTTTAGATGCATGTCGTGCAAGTTCAACATACTTTGGATAGTGAGGGTATTTTTGTTGTTAAGCATGAGTTTAACACAAACAAGTAGGGTTTTTTTTTTCTGTCCTGATAAATATGATAGTTTTATGTTTTCTTAGAATTAACCTTTTTCTAGCAAATAAGGCCATGTTGTCCTTTTTCCGAGTTTTTAACATAGCCTTTTTTTTTCTGGTCATCTTAAAACTACTTTATAATCAGGTTATAATAACTGTGAAGCAGCATGTATCATTAAAGGTTATATTTTTCTACATTGCTCACTGAGTTCACACAGGAAATTATTCCACTTAGCCAGCCTCAATCATACATATACAGTAAGAGAATTATTGAAATTTAAACAGTTTTTATTAAAATTTTTTTCAGGACATTGGGGTATTGTTCATGAGGGTTTATCTCACCCTGCTATACCAGCTGGATGGATGTTGAATGGGCTTGTGAGTTTGCATTGTCCTTTGTGGGTTGAGATCTATGTTCAGAAGAATGTAAGAGAGAATTACGAACAGCTTCCAAATGGTCAACTGAAGGTATTATCAACTGATAATCAGGGAAAAACTGTTCAGCATTTAACAATGAAAGATGGAAGAAGAAAGAAAAATTCACCTGGAAGATCAAAAAGCTTTAGGGGTTATTTTCAAAGATCCAAACATCAAAATAACAAAGACCTTTTATCACGATCTAAAAGTATCAATGCAAAGTTATCATAACTATACAAAAAAGCTGGACGTATTAAAATGCCTAATGTGTTGAAGATATTAATGTATCAAGTGGCCATCAAAGAGATGAAAGGTGTTTTTACTGAGGGAAGTGTTTTAGAGATTTGTTATAATAATGTTACTTCATTCATTCATTCATCTAATAACATTGTGTCTGTCTTGCTCTGTATTTTTCAAACATTTTTGATTTTCAATTACTGTTAATCATGTAGTTCAAATAGGGTTTTTAGAAATCACATTATTGTAACATGTTCTTTCATAAGGTAGGTTCTTTTAGGTTACTTGGTAAAATTAATTCCAAGTCCAATTCACATAATAATAAAGAATTAGTTTGTTGCATCTTTAATTTTAGCTACAGATTACTTAAAGTTGTAGGCTTAATTCACAAGCAACCTTTGAACAGAAATTCTTAGGCTAATTGTATGCCTAACTCACAAATAAGCTCACTTGTTAAATTTTCTATCTCATTAATCGATCAAAAACAGACACTTAACTCACTATGTAGCTTAGTAACTGAACTAAAGAGCTGAATAACTTACTGAGTGGCACTGATTATTTTTATTGACTTACTAAATACTTCACCAATTCTTGTGCCCGGCATGGCCAGGTGGTTAGGGTGCTCGACTCACAATCTGCAGGTTCAAATCCCCGTCACACCAAAACATGCTCACCCGGTGTCCAGACTAGGATGCCAGTCCTACTCCAGGAGACACACCTCCAAAAGAATTTGGAGGTGTAAGAAACACCATACACAACTACTACCAATTCTTGTATTTGTCATACCCTCTTTTCTACACACTGCACGAAATTCTAAAGATACCTTAACTTTCATGAACTTTGTAAATATTGCATTATGCACCCTCCAACAAACTAACATCTAAATTAAAATATAACTCGCAACAATATGTAATGTACTGTTTGACTTGAGATAGCTTCAGTGTGGTAGTTACAATGCTATTAACAAGTTTATGGCTTAATTGACTGTACTTATCAGCAACCTCTTTTTACTTATTACTAGACTTTATTTTATACCTGTAGAAAAATTGTAGTTCTTCTTGTCCTAGATATGTCTCTGTACTTAAGATCGTTAGTAATACCAAGAATTAGCAATATGTATAAAATAAAAGAGGTTTACACTAAATGAAATCAAGGCTAGAATATATAATCTGCTTTTAAAGTGGATTTTAATCATTATACGGATATGATTTGATGAAAAAAACCTCTTGTATTAAACCTAACAAAAAAGAATGGTGTGATACTCTAGTTGAATACCCAAGTTATGTTTCTTTTTAAAATTTAATATTGCTAGATGTCTTACATGTATATGTGCATACTATAGCAACAACTAAGAAAATATTTGCAAATATAAATTTTTATTAATTTTTGCTCAAAGTGTTTTAGTACCTGTGAATGTGTCAAGTTTTAATAGAATTTATTTTACCTACTTATGTTTTCTGTTTGACTTCAGCTAGATACATTTTTTTTATGAATACTTAATTTATTAAAAAATTATTACCAAAATAAAAATGTAATTTTATTACAAATTATAATTTGTTGTAAATAAAGACTAAAATACCTTTCACAATGTAATATAAATGATAACTTTATTGATAGGATATGTTAAAAAAAAAAGTATTTATAAACAGCAATAAATAACTTTAATTATTGCTTAGTTTTATGTGAAAATGGTAAATTACTAGAGAAACATTAGCATTTTCCTTTCAGCAATCAAAAGGTTTATAGTTACCAGTTTTAAGTTCAGTGCTGATATTTAATAAAAATTCTTTTGTATGAAAAAAGTTTAAATTATATGTAACTTAATTTTACTTCTCTTTAATAGAAGTTTAATCTGTCATATTTACCATTCCTCAGTTAATTATATTAAGTTTTATTTCAGACAATTGTATTAGTTACGATTTTGGTCAGTATTAGCACATTAACTACCACTTTGGGTCATCAATACATGTGAACTCCTTTACTTCAGTCAATATTAACATCTCATTGGTTGATAGATAATCTATATTATATCCGCTACCAGTAGGTTGTTTATTTATGTATCTGTTTTGCTTTACTTAGTTACGGTAATTATTGATAAATACTTCTCAATAACTGTTTATAAATGTGTTGGGTTAACTGCCATTTGGCTGATTATCCATGCTTTCCTGAAAGTTTCATACCATTGATTCTTACTAACTTTGTTTCAATTCACTCTTCTGTTTATCATTATTCAAATCACCACATTCATGTTAAAACATTCAATGCTAACATATGTCAGTGTTAGCAACTGATAAGCTTATTGCATGAATTTGTTTTTCTTGAATTTCATATATTGTTGGGATTTAATGGTTAGCATACCAGACTTAGAATAGGAGGGTCTACAGTTCCCATTCTACTGCTGCAGAATCATGCTCTGCACTTTGTTATGGGTGCTTTATAAAATTGGTTTAAATTTCATACAAAGCTACACAAGGGCCTGTCCCTAATTTCCCAGTGATAGACTAGAGGGAAGGCAGCTAGTCAACATCACCCACCACCAACTCTTGGGCTACTCTTTTACCAATGAATAGTGGGACTGACCATCCCACAGCTGAAAGGGCAGGCATTATGAAAGTGATGTTCAAACCCTTTATTCAATTAGAGTAACCTAAAAGTTGGCAGTGGGTGTTATTGACTAGCTGCTTTCCCTCCAGTTTGTTAGTTCAAAATTAGGGATAGTTAGATGCAGACAATTATTGTGTAGCTTTGTATGAATAACTAAATCAGATTTCATACATTTATAAAATATTACAATGCAAAGCCTCTAGTTTTTTAGTCACAGTTTTGAAAAACAAGCAATCTGTATTTTTCAATATAAATTTTAATGTTTGGAATATATTAATGAACTGAGAATTTCTTTTTTAAAGGTTTTAATATTATAGTAAACAGAAGTTTCATATCTAAAACAAAGGTAAAAAAAATATATAATTATCATAAACTAACTGTAATAGTTATTCTTGTGCTTTATTTCAAGTGACCTCAGTAATATATTATGTAATGGATTGTCATAACTGCCTCTGAACTGTTTAAAAAAATTCAGTCTTTATAAACAGGTCAAGAGAGTGTTAGACTAAGTATATAAACAAGAACATTGTTGAAAAAAATAATGAAATTTTGGTTTAAGTTTACGTGAGCAAAACTCCGTGTGAAGACTGTTTACAAATCTTATACAAGTCATTCCAGTATTTTTTCATAAATATAATTAAAAGGATTTGAATAGTTGTAAAAGTAAGTAGAAATGAAACTAAAGTTATATGACAATAGGGGGAGGAGGTTTGATATATCAAGTAGTGTTGTGAGAGATTGTATTAGAAGAAACAGCATGATGGTTGATAATATTAAGGTACAAAATCAGACCTATGGTTTCAGGAAACAAAGATTATCTAGAGACTTGTACAAATTTGAAATGTGATTATTTTTAACTCACAATGTGGTTTAATCTGTTAACATGAATTTCTTTATATCACTTTGAAACATACTCGTTTTTACTGTAAAAATATTTTGCTGAAACCACGTTAGTGTTGTAATACATATGGCTTGTGTACACGTTCCAGGTTTCTTTCATATTGTAACTAATCCAATTTTGTGTGAAAATTTAGGAATTTTCAATAATATTGTTATGATTCTGAAGTAAGGATTAACCTAATTATTTGTTTTTACATGGAAAGTAATACTAATATATATTTTTTGCAATAAATATCAGCTGAAATTTTCATTTTCAATGATAGCAGTGTATGTTTGAAGACTTCAAGATTTTAGACCTACAATGAGAAGTTCATTTTCTTCAGAAGAATTTATTTTTGTATATAAACTGTTCAAGTTTTGTTCTGCAACATTCAAGACTTAACAAAGTACAGATGTTTCATTGAAATGTTTTGTGAAACGTGCTATGCTTTCTCCTAGTAAGTGGTGCAAAAATCAGACTTTCCATAAAATAATAAGTTTCTTTAGTTACAAAAGATATTCTTATAGACAAAAAATGGTATATAAAAACTGTTTCCAACTTATCAACATTAACTTTGAAGTTATAATATAAATTGAGGTCTTTGTTCTTCTCCAGAAAAAAAAAGACCACAAAGGGTTGAATATGTTATATTAAAACAATTTTGACAAAAGCAAATATAAAGTTGTGGTGGAACAACATTTATCAGAACTACATTTTGACATTGCTTAGCATTTTGTAGGTAATGTGGTGCCATCAAAAATTGTTTTAGGGATGGGTATGTAACAGCATTTTCCAATACCAAATATTCATGCACTAAGATCATAAGGATGTGTTTAGATCTGGGATTTAGAATTTCCAAGATGGGGATATCCCTTGCACTTATAGCATTGGAAAAGAAAGGAATATGGATCAACTTGGGGCACCAGGTCTATTCAGAAAGAGACCTGCTTTAGTTGTAATCCCAGCTGTGGTAAGCAAAGTTCAGCATCTTTTAACAGGTGAGAATCCACAAACAAACAGGTCAGTGGCAGGAGTTAACATTTTTCTTACATTGAAAATGTATTTCTGTTAGATACTCGCATCCTCTCACACAAAACTATCTCAATCTTCTTCTGATTTTTAAGCATTGCTAAAAATTTTTTGCCATCACTGCACCATTCTATGTACCCATCAATTCTGCAGCATTTTGGAACATGTACATTACATATGACTACTCTCCACCAATAGTATTGGGCCACCTAGCTCCCTCTGCTATGCCCACTCAATCTTCACTTTCGAGAATTGGCAGATTCCAAGAGAAGAACACCAGCAGTGGAGAGGAATGGTGGGAAGTGTGTAAAAGGAGGTAAGTACCTATCAGAAATACATTTTCAGTGTAAGAAAAATGTTAACTTCCGATACTGTTTTACCTCCTCTTACACAAAACTAGAATCCCACATTGCACAGGTGGATGGGCCAGTGTAGGTGCACAACATAGAAATCAAGCAGAAAGCAACCACCCAGAATGAATGGGTGTGCTTTAAGATGAAAACAAACACATGTGGGGGACTGCACTACTTCTGGAACAGGTATGCTCTTCGCCCTTGAAGTAGGAAATAAATCTGATATGTGAGGAAAAAAGGATGTGCACAAGTGCAATTTGTTCTGAGAGGTGCAATCCATAGTAAAATATAAACAGAATTAGCTATGTACATTCACAGCCTCAACTGGACAGACGAGGTTCCATAACTCGTCCTCGGCATTAGGAGGTTGAGGAACAAAAAATATATTGTAACAATCTAATATATGGTAACAAACATAGTGGCTAGGGCATGTGGACCATGTTAACTATACTCATCAACCCCAACAGTAAGTAAACACAGTGGCATACGTCCAAGCAACCAGAATTACAAAGAGGAAATGAGCTTTCGGCTGAAACTGGACAAAATCCCAAAACAACCGTAGGAGCAAGAAGTACATCAAACTGAACCCAGCATTATGGGGTCATGGCATTGCCTCAACTCAATCATAAGAACAGGATAATATCTATAACCTATATTACGAGCAGGGAAGAGAAATTTTGCATCCAGGATTACGAGGAGTACATGGAACATTTGCTCAACTGTAGGAACAGTGTATGTATGTCCTGTAGTTGGCATTACAAGTCAAAGACTTCCATGCTTCTTGTGCTTGGCCTTTAAGCTCATGATGCACTGACAGATTTTAGTCACCTTACCACTTCAGATCGCTTTTCACAGCTCCAACACTAAAAGAGTGTGAGAAATGCCTTCTTTTTAGCCAATAAAAATGTCCAAAAAATTTCAATTCAAATTAAGAAAAACTGGCTTGTGAGGGACCTGTTAAATATTAGATTCTAAAGAAATATGTACATTATATACATTTATATATTGGGCACAACTTATCTGTTAAGAAATGGATAAAACTTTATCAGTAGTTCCATTAACACCCTGGAAGATTATGTTATAAAGAAGACTTTCATAATAAGTCCTGAAAAAAGTTGTATCATTTTTAAAATACATTTGTGGTTTGAATTTCGTGCAAAGTTACGTGAGGACTATCTGTGTTAGCGACCCTCACGTTGTGAGTCAAGTGATCTAACTACCTGGTCATGCCCGGCCAAATAAGATTTGTATTTTTAAATTGTTAATAAACTTAAAACAAGAGAATAATATCAATAGTAACTACTAACTAATTTCTTTTTTATACAAGAATATTTTTCACTTAAAAGCTAAAATGATGACATATATTTTGCAAGATAAAAAGATTTCTGAAATTCAAAACACTAGCTATAATTATGGAAATAATGAAAAACTAAAGGTTTCTCTATCTTTTTTTAGCTTTTCCTTGTGATGATGTAGCTAACTATCATCATGTGTTATTCATACAAGAGGTAATGAATAGAAAATTATATCTATAGTTTATTTAAGAAATACACTGAGACTTACTGTTAAGATTTTTATTTACAAAACATGAATAAAAAAAACAAGTCAATGTTGATTGTTTTTAAAAGAAACAGACATTGAAAATATCAATTTTAATTCTACCATTTGATTGTGTTTTCAAACAAAATATTAAATTGATTACCAGAATTGGAAAGTTAGTGTGAAGCTGAATTGTCTACCAATTATAACTGGATTAAGAAGGTAATTTTCACTCTCTCTCTAAAACCATTGCTTCAAAAACGTATTTTGTGGCCAAAGTTATAAAATAAAAGTTCTGTTGTAAGATACAACTTCTGAATATTCTAGTTGCTATTAGACTTTATCTCAAACACTTGTTAAACATAAAACACCAATTTCACTACTTTAGAAAATATTTGTAATTGAATAATCTGCATCTATCGGAAAGTCATTTGTTATAAACTAAATATGGTGTTTTGAAATACTTAGGACCATTATAGTCAGAATGTAACAATTTCTATCATAGGTTAATTTTGTGTATGGAGAACGTTCTAAATACTCATTCTTATACAAAGTTACTTAGATTGTTTTTTTTACAAAACTTCACAATAAGTAGTTTTAGCTCAAATTAAATGCAAAATAATAATAATTAATGTCTCTACTCAACAATTAGAACTTAAGTTACTGAACACTCTTCTTGTAAATTTGAAGCAGCAATTTTAAAAAAGCTTCAAGCCAAATATTTCCACAAGACAGTTATAGATGAATTTAATATACTTATAATCCACAATTATGCAATGGAAATTAAAAAATATTGTTGATCACGTTAAGATTTGAATTCAATTTGATAAGTTTTTTACCCTATTTTTATCACTTAAAAAGACCATCAGATGATACCAGTTCAGTAGGTATCTTTTTAAAAAATTAATGTGTTCTTTTTTTTGTATTTCTGTAAGTTATCATACCACTGCTAATTTTTGAGCTATTCTGATTGAACAGTGAAATTTGACTGTCACTCTTACAATGCACTCAGCACCTCAAAATGTAAAGCATATTTTTTGCAGCATTATGTTGTAAATTATGAATTCTTGGATTTATAGTCTGGCATGCTAATCTCTAGCCATGCCAAGCCTAGGAGATGTGCTGCTTCTTGCAGAAAATACCTTAGGAGTAACAAATCAGTTTGAAATAACATTATACTAACTCCTCTCACTTAATAAGCTAAGCAATCTTTTGTTTTAATTTAAGGGCTGTGAAACAAATATCTGAAGTGTAATTAGTTGCTGGAAGAACCAATACAACAAGAAATTAAAAAAGTTAGCTCTTAAGTGGAATTTGTTCATCCAATGAGAGAATTTGTTTAAAATATAACCTCAGCACTATTTTACATGTTTCATTAGGGTACTTGCAAAAAAAAAATAATAAAATTCTTAAGGTAACTTTGGCCATAAAATTAAATTCTCTCAGGATGCAGCATAAATTGTTTTCCTTCAAGATATTAGAACTAAAAATAGTAATAAAAAAGATTCAAACATTATATATTTCTGAATCATGTTGTTATACTGTTTCTAATTACTAAATAGGTAATAACAAGTTAGAACACATTTATCATTGAATAGTCCTTACCACACCAGTATGCCTGAAAACATCCAATCATTTGAATTGAACCTTTTTACTACTTTTGCAAGATCAGCAAAATGTTACTGAATTTGATATCAATGAAATTCAAAGTTTGTTAAATTAGACTTATGAAAATTAATAATGCAAGTTCAACAAAACTAAAACACATCTACATATTCAAAACTATATATAAACTAGCACTCATGCCTGAAAAGTAATTTCTTTATCACAAAGTCTGAATTCAAATCTTGGACCAAATTGGGTAGTTGAACAGGCTTGACATCTACTTTTTAGTTCTACACATTAATTAGTCCACAATATAACACTTCCACAGTGATAGAACAGCACTAATCTTCAGTTATCATATAAAAAATATTATACATTAAAAACAACTCTTATTTTGCCATATGTTTGACTTAAATATAATTTCATTTTCATAATTTGAATTCTGTAATGTTTTACTATCTAGAAACAGACACAGTTAATAGTCAAACACAACTTTTATTTATAACTTTTGAGTATTTCAGTAATTCTACAAATCAAGTTTTTAAGAATTATAAACTTAATCACATTTGATATTTAACTTAACAATTTATCAGCTGAGAAAAATAAACTTGTTTCACTTTGAATTTTGTTTTCTTCTCATCAGCCTAAATGTATCCACTAAAAAACAGCCCAAAACTGTTCAGACAACAATAATTTACAATAACTGTTATGGTGTGAATACCTTTTTCCAAGCTGGTAAGAATAATTATAATTGTTATAAGACACGAGTATTAAGCCTAATACTAACGTCTTACGACAAGTATAATTAATTATAATCATTTGCAACAATTAACTTTACTTAACTAAGTCATATTTTATACAACTGAAAAGTTTAAACAAACCATCCTGGTTTCATTACATAATTTTGAAACTCCATACTTATTTTCAGTTCAGTATTAATCCTTTTACTGCATAGTTTGGATATATCCAAATAAAAATTTATATTCACTGACTGTGAAATTCGGATTTACCCCATGGCAATCAAAAAAAAGTTTCCCTCTACTGCAACATGCAGGAATACCCTCCTGTAATTGACAAAAAAATCGCCAAACCTGCCATCTGTGTTCTATACTATGTAACCTGTATGTTTATTGACTTTGTTTTTTCTATATTTATGCCATTTACTGGAAAACACTTTTCTTCTACTTTTCCTCAATTATTTGTTTAAATCATTATTTTTCACTCTCCAATACGGTTTTCACGAAATATTACTGTCAGATATAGAACATATAGCTTCTTTCAATATTGAAAGAGTAATACAAAGGGTCAAGGTCATACTTTTACGTTTTGGTGGATAATTGACACTTTTAGGGAATCAGCCTGAAAATTAACTGTACAGTGAAAGGGTTAAACAAGGTTTACCATAACAAACACTAGAAACTGTTTATTATGTGTAAATGATAGCTTGCTCTACTGAATTGATCACTAAAGGCCTTACTATCTTTATTAATTCTAATTTCTATGGATTACAACCAGAACCCATTCTCTGGTCAGATCCCTGAAAACAGGAACTTTAGATATTTTAAGCAGAAAATTTGAAATGGTTAAATAATGTACTGCATAAAACTAACATTAAATTTTCCATCTCAATAAACACCAGGTAAATCTCCTTAGAAACAATACAAATAACAACTAAACAATCTTGTTACAAAACTTTACAAACACAATAATAATTCACTTGCAAACATATATTTACAAATAAGAATGACATCATGCTGAGGGGAGGTGAAAGTTCAGTTTCTGTTCTCATCCTGAAAGCACAGGATGAAACCTGTACTGAATGAACTACTTAAAAAAGAAAATAGTGGAAAAATTATCAAGTCTTTTTTGTGATGTTTCATAACCATTTCCAATTTTATACTGACCATACTTTATAATAACTTCAATTTTTACTAGTATGGTAGAGTTGTATCAGTTTACCAAAAAGTACATCTAAAGTAATAAAATAGTTTTAAAATGTATGCAAATACATACAGACAAAATCTTTCTTCAGTATCAGTGTATGATGAATAACAAGCTTTATTTCAATAAGTAAGTGAAATTCAAAGGATATTATATGCCCCACTTTCATTTTTTTAATGACTTTATATTGTGCTAAGCTATTCATAAGTTAAGTCAGTCATAAAAAACCTTATTCTATTTACTGCTTGTGAAGTGCACGACATTCAATTAAAATATTTAAATATAGGCACGACTAAAAACAACATAATGCACAAGGTCAGCCATATGTAGTGCAGCTTGAGAACTAGGCTTCTGAGAACAGTTTTGCTCATTGAAAAAGTTATTTCTATTGTAAGCCTATCTACACAAAAGTGGAACCCTGTTACACTGTCTACAGTGTAAGAACTTTGTGATAATACATCTTTATTCCTTTCAACAACACTGGAAATTAGTTTTATACCCATCACCAACTTGAGTACTGTTTTACAGAAAACTAAAATGAAATATCAAGTTATATAAAGATTTCATTAATCACTATAAATTATTCTTCAATTAATTAGTGGAAAATTTAAAAAGTAGTTTTCTCATTGTAACTGTAGTTGTACATAACAAAGCTGACTAAACTAGTAATACAAGGACTTAAATAAAAATTATCTATAATATATCCAAGTAAAGACTCAATGCTGAAACAAATGGTAATAATATTAATTAACAAAACTTTTTACAATGAGAACTCCATCATATGAGAAAACAAAAAATTAAGTTTGTCCAGAAAAATATATCATGCAATTTTTATCACAACATAACACTAGTTAGTGACTCATTAGGTGACATACCAATCGATCAGAAGTGTTGTGTTTTTGAGACATGGTTCATTAGAGTAATTGGTTTACACTGTATAATGGTTTGGAAAACAGTGGGATGTTAAGTAACATAGAAATCCATCAGAACGGTGCAGGATTTTTGGGACATAGTTCATTCATTTAATGGGTTCAACATAGTATAATGGTTCATAACACTAGTGGAAAGTTTGGTAACATACCAATCTATCAGACCAGTGTAGGCTTATGGTACATACATGGTTCATTAGATTAATGGGTTTACCCTGTATAATGGTTCATAACACCAGTGGAAAGTTTGGTAACATACCAATCTATCAGACCAGTGTGGGCTTATGGTACACATGGTTCATTAGATTAATGGGTTTACCCTGTATAATGGTTCATAACACCAGTGGAAAGTTTGGTAACATACCAATCCATCAGAACAGTGTGGGCTTATGGTACAGGCATGGTTCATTAGATTATGGGTTTACCCTGTATAATGGTTCATTAGATTAATGGGTTTACCCTGTATAATGGTTCATAACACCAGTGGAAAGTTTGGTAACATACCAATCCATCAGAACCAGTGTGGGCTTATGGTACACACATGGTTCATTAGATTATGGATTTATCCTGTATAATGGTTCATAACACCAGTGGAAAGTT